CTCTCTCGTAAAGGAGAGCGACATAACAGGGCTCCACGAATGAACGAAGTGAGGGACCCTAACATAAAGTCATTTAATTATGCGCCACCACAATCCACCGAAACCGATGCGGCAACCAGAAGCCCAGTCACGCAAACCCTCACATCCCGAATGGCGTGAAGAACCCAGCCAGGGGCACCACAAAGGTTCGCACGGCCATGCGCGCCCGCAGGACCGCGACTCTGCGGGCGACACGCAACACGGCGGTGGCAGAGACGCGCCGCCGAGGCCCGCAGAGCCTCTCATCTCCCCCCAGCTTCGTCGCCTCAAACCGCGCGTCACACCCACCTCAGCCACCGCCGCGTTCTTTGTGGCGGCTCCGAGCCGGCCGACACCCTCCCTCAGGCCCCGCGGCTTCCGAAACGCGGCCGGCAGTCTACTCTCGACCTCAGGCCGCGACTCCGGGCCTCCGGGATTCCTCAGAGACTCACGGCAGCCATCGCTATCGGTGGCTCGGCGTTCGGCAGGCGCTCCAAGGGGAAACCGGAAGGCAGACTGACACACGGCGGTCGAGCGCCGAATCGTCGAGCGGTCAGAGCCGACGGGGAAAGTGCAGTGTTAAACCGGAAGGCAGGGGATTCCGCGCAGGCGCGATCTCAATGAGGCGGGCCCGGGAGGAGCAGGCGGAGCCTTGCTACCGTGAAGTTCTCTCAGGTCCAAGCAACACAGCAGGTTTGGGAAGCCTACAGCTTGTCCTTCACCCACCTTGTAGATGGGGAAAACGAAGCGTTGATCCTAAAACACTGGTGGCTGCAACGTCAACTTTATTCAGAGGTCATTAAAAAGTTCCTGAGGAGTTCTGAGGATGGCTCAGTGGTTAATAGTACTGGCTGCTCTTCCAAAGGACTAGGGTTTGAGCAACCACTTTTGTCTGCTACCAGCTGTCTGTAATTCCAGTTCCAGAATATCCAATGCCCTCTCTGGCCTCTGTGGGTACTGCACTCATGTGCTGCACAGACATATACGCAGGCAAAACACACACAATTTTGCTTTTTTTTTTTTTTTTTGCCAGGCGTTGGTGGTGCACGCCTTTAATCCCAGCATTCGGGAGGCAGAGGCAGGCAGATCTCTGTGAGTTCGAGGCCAGCCTGGTCTACAAGCGCTAGTTCCGGGATAGGCTCCAAAGCCACAGAGAAACCCTGTCTCAAAAATAAATAAATAAATAAACAAATAAATAAAAGTTTCTGAGTGTGAAGGAGTGAAGGTATGTTCAGCACACCGACGAGACAGAAAGACATGGGATACAGCCACAGAGAGGCTGAGAAGGGTTATCAGGATAGGGAGTTGGCCGGATTGGTCCTGGTTGGGGTTCAGTTTCCACCATATGCCTATGCCTGTAAGCCCAATACAATACTCTAGGGATGGAGGCCAAAGGATCAGAAATTTAAGCTAATTTTCAACTGCATAGCAAGTTCAAGGCCATACTGGGGATACATGAGACTCCACATCAAAAAAGCAAAGAAAAAAGAGATGTAATTGGCTAGATCTCTGCAAAATAAGTGGCATTTACAGAAGACAGTAAGATCAGACCAGTCACCTCTGCACCTAGCAATAGACCACAGGATAGAGACAGAGACAGACTCATCTGTTCCTGAGGTCTGTTTGCTTTATAGCCAGCATACCATCTAAACTTTGCAGTAACCTGGGCTCCAGAAGCAGGAGCTTCAGGGAAGATCCAGGGCTTTGGAACCAGAAAGTGGCCTCCATCCCTGCTGCCTCCAGCCCAACCCATCATGGCCGTGGCTCTTGACCCATTTGACTCTGAGCATTACTGTCTGAAGGTTACCTGTGGTCACAATCTCTACCTCCTGTGCAGATGAAGTGAAGTGACACTTTCTCCAGCAGGTCTCTGGCATGCACTGATCACTGTATCTCAGCTCAACACTTATGCAATTGGGGCACCCAACTTGGAGACAGCATTGATTATGAAGAGGACAGCTGCTGGGAAAGGGGCAAGAACTAAGGCTGCACAAACCCACGTTCCTGCTGCAAGAGAACCTTACTTTGAAACTTTAAAAAAAAATTATGTATACAGTCTTCTGTCTGCATGCTGGCAGAGGACACCAGATCTCATTCAAGGTGGTTGTGAGCCACCATGTGGTTGCCGAGAATTGAACTCGGGACCTCTGGAAGAACAGTCAGTGCTCTTAACCGCTGAGCCATCCTCCAGCCTATTAGTTTGAAACTCTTAACGTGCCCCTTTCCTTCTGTTCTTCAATTCTCCCACATGCACATGTAAAGTGGGTTCCAAAGCAGACAGTCCATTTTTATTTCCAAATTGGTGACTATTTTTGTCTGTTCGGCTTTGGGCTTTCTTGTTTTCCAGTGCTGGAGTTGGAACCCAGGGTCTCACATAGGCTAGATAAATGTTACACCATTAAGTCACATCTCAGACCTGCTTTCTCTATAGCTTCGCACTCTGCTGAGATAATGAGTGACTCTTGCCAATAAGCCAGAGGCAAGCCTACCTTTGCCTGTCACAAACCTTTGCCTTGGCACTTTCAGAGTGTCCCCTTCCCCTGCACTGCACCCCAGAATGAGGCAGACTCTGATGGGCACGACTATTTGAGGCCAGGAAATGACCTCTTAATTCAACCATTATTTAGTCTGTTATCATTTACAAAACTAACATCACACTCACACCTCATTTGCTCCAAAAGCAATGGCAACATGCTGGGCAACTTGTAGATATGAAAGTCAGTGGGTTGGCCAGCACTGTTCTCAAGTGCTAGGAATGGAATTTGGCATACACTAGTCAGGCAATGAGCTGCACCCCAGCTCTTACTGATATTTTAAGAATGATAGTGGCATTCTGGGCATGATAGAACACACTTGCAATCTGAGTGCTTGAGAGGCACAGGCAGGAGAATCAGGACTTTAAGAACAGCCCTGGTGCATAGTAAGGTCAAGGCCAACCTGGGATACTTGAGATCCTGTCTCCAAAAAACAAAATCAGGGGCTGGAGAGACAGAGAAGTGATTAAGAACACTTGTTGCAGCCCAGCAGCTGTGGCACACACCTTTAAGCCCATAATTTAATAATATACTTTAATTCTCAAGAGGCAGAGGCAGGTGGATCTCTGTGAGTTTGAGGCCACGTTGGTCTACAAGGCAAGTGCCAGGACAGCCAGGGCTACAGAAAGAAACCTTGTCTCAAAAAAGTTAAAAACCAAGAACAAAACCTAAAACCAAACAATAACAACAACAACAAAAACTTGTCCTTTCAGAGGGTGCCAGTTAGGGTTCCAACACTCACACTATAGTTTTTAACTGTAACTTCAGTTCCATGAGATCTGATGCCCTCTTCTGACCTTCATGAGCACCAGAAATACATGTGGTACACAGACATACATGCAGGCAAAGCACCCATACACATAAAAAGTAAAACACCTGATAGTGAAATAGACCAGCATGGGTGCATTAAAGTGTTTTCCTTATTTGGTCTTTGGGCAATTCTTTTACTGTTTCTTGTTTTTCAATTTTAATAGGAATTTTAAATTTTATTATTAATAATTAAATTTATTCATTTATTTTACATTCCGACCACAGTTTCTCTCCCTCTTCTTCTCCCATTCCTTCCCCTACCTCCCACCATACTATTTCCTTTTAATTATAATAATGACTAATATTTACTGAGGGAGTTGCACATGACCACTGCTCTATGGGCTTTAAACACCCCAACTCATTTAATCTTCATGCATTGTGTGAGGTACCACTCTGTGAAGAAGCTGCAAATGGAGAAGTTAGCTGTCTTGCTCAAGACTCATTGCTGATGAGTCATCTTGCTTTGAGGTCTTCACAATGCTCACATTTCCTTACTCTGTGAATGCCTCACCTCTGAGACTTCCTTTATCAGTCAGCATCTTGTAGGCATCAACCATAGGCCAGGTATAGACAGGGTATTAAAAAGACAGGCACTGAAAAGGAAATGGTAGTGTGGGTAAACTTACATCAGAGGAAACTGGGCACATCACATAACTTCCCAAAGGGCCATCTGCACCCAACACCAGGCCCAGGCCTCTGCCCAATGCTATGGTTCTAAGAGGTGAGGTAGGCACACCCTGCTGATGGCACAAGGAAATATGAGTGATGACAGAAATGCCTCACCCTAGTCTACAGGACAGGCAGATGGGATGTTGGACTAGGCTGTACCCAAGGGAAATAGAAGGCGGCTGCACAAGATGGCTCAGGAAGTAGCAGAGAGGGACTTTTTTTACCCGGATGGAAATTGAGTAGGCAATGAGAAGCCTCTGGCACAGGGGGCTGGGACCCTCAATCCTAGGTATACTCAAAAGTGTGGCGGCATACGCCTGTAAATCTAGCGATTGGGAAGTGGAGGAAGGAAGATCCCAAGTGCAAGTGCAGCCTCAATTCTACAAATGGAGCTCAGCCAAGACTACACCAGACCCTGTCTCCAACCAACCAGACAACAATCAGTGAGGGCAGGGCCCAGGAGATAGCTGTCAATAAGGTGCGTGCCCCTCAAACATGGGGATCTGAGTTTGGATCCCTAGCATCCACACTAAAATCAGGTGTGGCAGGACATGCCTACAATAAAGTGTGTGTGGAAAAAGTTCTCACTCCTACTTCTCCCCGACGAAAAGGGAGAGACAGGCAGAGCCCTGGGGCTCAATGGACAGCCAGTCTAGCCAAACTGGTGAGCATCCCGTTCAGTGAGAGACAGCCACCTAAGTTCTGCTGCCACTTTAGGGCCCCCAAATAACTCACAGAGATTAATATTAGTTGCAATGCTTCTGGCCAATGACTAGGATTTCTTATTTGCTAGCTCTATCTTAAGTATCAACCATAACCATTAATCTATATATTTTATAAAGACTTATCGAGGACGCCAGCAGCGTGTGTCATCTCTTCCCTGAGATCACATGGTGACTCTCTCTCTACTACATTTCCCAGAATCCTTCTTTCCTAGTCCCGCCTATCTTGCTTCCCTATTGGCCAACAGTGTTTTATTCATTAATCAATAAGAGAGACATATACACAGAAGGACTTGCCCTATCAAGAGACCCTTTCTCAAAAAACAATGTGGATGGTAAGGAAGACACTCAACATTGACCTCAGGCCTTCACATGCAAACTTTTCGTACACACACACACACACACACACACACTTTTCTTTCAGTTTAGCAGCTGCACCTGAATCTACTGATATTTTAACTACCTTCTAAAGTCCCAAGGCCCTGCAGTCAGAGGCCCACCACTCAGGCCACAACTTGGCAGGACTTCTGGTTCAGCTGATGCTGCCAAATGTAATTTTAACTAAGTCTCTACTGTTCTATTACCAATAAAGACTCAGGAGTCAGATGTTGGAGTGAAAACCTACTAGCTACGAGAGGCTGAGAAGAAACCAATTAACATTCCTTTTGGCCAGAGACCCAGCAAGAGAGTGTCTCTCCAGCCATCCCAAATCAA